AAAAAAAAAATTATCCAAGGGAAGACTTAAGATGTTGATTAATTTTTAAATTATGTTAGTGGTGGTGGCTCAGGTGGTAGAGTGCCAGCTAATAAGTAAAAGCCCTAGATTCATAAATAAATAAAGTTAAAGACACTAATTGTCATTTTGAAAATAACACAAAAAGTTCAGAAGGCAAGAGAAGCAAGAAAAAGAAACAGCATAACCAATATGACAAGAACAAAGGAGACAGAACATCAACCCTTTGAGCAGAAAAGCCTCCCAGCTACTAGCATCCAAGGCGCCCCTGCCTCTCTCCCTCCCGCCTTTCCTCTCCCTCCCAGGAAAACAGAAAATGGGCCAAACAGGGTCCCGCAGTTATATCACCACCATCTTTTAATCTCATCACATCCAGATTTCTTTGATAGCATGAAGAAAAATATTTATTCAGTGAGCAAAATATTTACCATCTTCCTGGTGGTTGTCACTTGGTATCTCTCTTCTTGTCACTTCCTGTAGCTAAAAAAAGTTCAAAAATTTTAGAAGGGCATCTGTGGACATTTAGACAAGAGTTCACTGGATCACGTTCAGAGTCCTTTCCTGTTAGTAAAGATGGCCATCCTTGCAAGCAAAGGAAATAGATATTCAAGCAAAGGCCCAGGGTGGAGCTTGTTTTAAAGCTGTCACAATACAAGGTTCTAGAGTTGCTTTAGAGCTGGTAAGGAGGCTCTTTGAAAATACCAAACATCCTTAGAAAGTAAAGGACATATTGAACTTTGAAATACTGTATTTTCTCTGCTTCAAATACCTCAGCATACAAATGATAGGTCACTTTCTTGAACTTTCTCTTTTCTGTTCAAGTGATTTTTATGTTTATTTTATGTTCTGATAAATCTCAGTATCAACCCCAGGAATTAATAGAAGTTTTAATATGTTAGGAATCAATCAGAGGCATAACTAGGCAAGAACTGAAGCAAAACAGAAAGCAATCTAAGGTTTGATTAGAAGCTTGAAGTATTTGGTGACTTCATAGTAGTCATACCAAATAAGAAGTCCTACTTCTTTACTTGTTAAGCTAAAAGACTTACAGCAAGCGATTCAATTTCCTTTTTCTCTCACTTCAAAATATAATTTCTGAGTAGTTTTCTTTTTCCCTTTCTTTTGTCTGTTTATTTGCCAATAGTAGGGCTTGAACATAGACCTCATGCTGTCATTTTGCTTTTTTTCTTTTTCAGGCAAGGCTGGCTCCTCTACCACCTGAGCCACACTTCTATTTCCTTTTTTTAGGTTTTAAAACATTTTTTGGGGCTGGGAATGTGGCTTAGCAATAGAGTGCTTGCCTAGCATGCCTGAAGGCCCAGATTCGATTCCTCAGTACCACATACACAGAAAAAAAGCTGGAAGTGGGGCTGTGGTTCAGGTGGTAGAGCGCTAGCCTTGAGCACAAAGAGGCTCAAGGGACAGTGCTCAGGGCCTGAGTTCAAGCCCCAGGACTGGCAAAAACAAACAAAAACCCACAATTTTTAAGTCTAAGAATTGCCTAATCTCTAGATTGAAATAGCCTATATCTATATCTCCTTTTCCTTAATTCTAAGATTTTTAAAAAGTGGCAATAGAGGCTGGGTACTGGTAGCTCACACTTGTAATCCTAGCTACTCAGGAGGCTGAGGACTGAGGATTGTGGGTTCCAGTCAAACTGAGCAGGAAAGTCTGTGAGACTCTTATCTCCAATTAACCACCAAAAAGCTGGAAGTCAAGCTGTGGCTCAAGCACTAGCACTAGCTCAAGAACAGCACCCAGTCTCTGGGTTCAAGCCCCAGGACTAACACCAAAAAAGAAAAAAAAGGGGGGGAAGTGTAGAAGTCATTTCTAAGTCACCCAAGTAAGAGCTTTAAACACAAACCAATGAAAAGTGTTCTTCTTTTTGTTTTACTGAAAACTAGTTACTTTTAAATCTTGCCATAACTTGTAGGATCTCTACTTTCCCATTGTCATCTGTCCTGCTATATAATTAATGTAGGGTT